GCCCCCGCATGGGCGCGTAGTGCCCGCTCGGCGCTGAGTGCCCGGGTGCCGCGGAGCGGGGCGGGGAGGCGCGTGTAGGAGAGAGGCTGGATTTTATCCTTTTTCCCGTTGTAGACGTGCAGGCAGACAGGGGTACAGGTGTGTTGGGGTGTTCTGGTTTTTTCTTTTTTTTTTTTTTTCCGTCATTGCCTATATTGGCTTGTTTACCCCCCCATTTTTGGTTTTTGTTGTTGTTTTGTTTTGGGTGAGGTGGGAGCCCGGGGTGTCTGATTTTCCTCCAGCTGAGCAGTGCAGTTGCAGCGGTAGCGGTGAAATCCTGCTCCTCCAGTGAGCTCGAGCCAGGAAAATGGAGGCTGTGATAGAGAAGGAATGTAGTGCGCTCGGAGGGCTCTTCCAGACCATCATAAGCGACATGAAGGTAAGAGGCTGAGGGGTCTGGGGGCGGCACAGGGGAGGGGAGGTGTCTTCTCACCTGGCCTGGCGAAACTTCGCCCCGGGCGGTGCAGCCGCATCGGGCTCTGGTGGCGGCGCGACCTTCCCCCGTGGCGCTGGGGGACCCTCCCCGGGGCTGGGACCAGCCCGGCAAAGGGGCCCCTGTAAATGCTTCACACCCCAGCAGGGTTTGGGGCTTGCGAGTTGCTTGCAGGACACCACCTCTCCCTCTCTCTTCCTTCCCTCCTTTCGCTGTCTCTCCTGCTCAAACATGCAAGCTGTTACCTTGCACCAGGGTCAGCGTTTTCCAAGCCTGCCTCTTTTTTTTTTTTTTTTAAACACCTTTTTCTTTTCCTTCTCCTCCTTTTTTCTCCCCTGGTTTGGGCTGTCAGAGCGGCAGCAGAATGGACGCAGCGAGGCGGCAGCGTGGTGCGGAGGAGCCGGGCACGGAGCATGTCAGCCTGGGGTGGGGCTGGGAAGGGCAGTGGGGATTTCGGTGCCAGGCTGATGGGAGCGATGGAGAAAAATCTCAGCCTGGAGATGCTCAAAAGTTGATGTGTGCCTGGATTAAAATTGCGGGTCGGTCGGTTATGCGATATTATTTTCACGCTGTGTATGCTCAGGGAGGTGGCATTTGCTTCTTTCTCTGCGTGAATCCAAAGGTCTCAAGTCGCCGGGTCTCCTCTCCACCAGCCACCAGAAATCTGAGTGTGCCGATCCTCACTGCCAAAGGGTCCCTTTGAGAGGGGCGCTCCCAATATATCCTTGGCAGCCAAGGGCACTTCTGCAGGGTTTTCTTTGGGTGAGCGGGTGCCTCCCACCCTTCTCTCGTGGAAATAAACAGCGTAAAAGCCTCGCTGTGTTCTGTCAGTCATGCCTTCCCCAAACCCCAGGGCCCGCGGCGCCCTGCCCCCGGCAGACGGCCCTACTGCAGAATACTGCAGTGTTCCCCTGGACAAGGGCAGCCTGTCTTCATCCCAGGGCTGACTGGGAAGGATGCAGTTGTCGGGAGATGTTGAGGGATGCGTCAGATAATGGGGGGCCGCCGTAATTTCAAGGCGGCAACCGAGCACGCGGTGCTGCTCCCAGCCAGGGGCTCGGGATTTCTCTGGATGTTCTCATCCATGCAGGGCTCGTGAGCAGGGAGGGCTGCGGGAGAAAGAGCTGCCAGGTGGGGTTGGAGGAGGACAGGATCTGCTCTAGGAGGGAGCCTGGCAGAGGTGAATGGCTTCTAATGTGTATTTTTGTGGGGGGTGGAGAACCTGTTTGCACTAGAAGTTATTTTTTGGCAAGGTTCATATGCACTGTCCTCTCAACACATCTAATGAGGAGACATTTAATTAAAAGCGTGACTTGTCAAGAGCAAGCAGATTGTAGAGAGGAGGGAGAGTGTGTATCTGTCAAGACAGTGTTGCAGTCCTGGAGGTGGTGGTCCTCAGGCTCTCAACCCCCTTGGATTTAATAATGACTGCAGTTTAAAATAAACCTCCCAAAAAGCAGGAAACGATCACAAATCCTGGAATCCTTATAGTGGGCTGTGCAGGGAGCACGCAGGAGATGTTCTGTTCCAGATGCAGTGTGGTTTGGGTTTCATCACAGAGGGACACTGAGTATGTTTATTCTCTCCTTCTTTCCATGAGTGATGCATTTGGGTTTTCTTGCTCTTAAGCCAATGGGCCTTTGTTATGTGGTTTTATTTTTTCTTCTACACATTGCTACTTGCATGGAAATGCTGCTCATCAGAAACATGTTGACATGAGCTTATGGAGATGGGCACAGGTGTGAATATTTTTTTCTTAATGCTCCATAGTAGTGGAACCTGTTTTGTGAACTGGCAATTACTGAGGGGGGAGGTTTGGAAGGAATCGCAGCAGATCTTTAGCAGTATGGTTGTTGTTATGGTTTGGAAAATTTGCTTGTTATTTAGCAGGAGTAGAACAAAGAATTTTTACCTGTAGTTTGGTTTGATGCAGCTGATGCTGTACTGCTGATGAGATGCACTAGGATTCTTTGTGAATTGTGCACAAAGGAACATGACAATTTTTAAGAAAAAATAGCTATTTTTTGATAGCTAACCAGAACCTTTCAACTAATCATACCTTTAGTAGTAAAGTGAAAATTAGCATTTTAAATGCTGTTTCATGTAGTCAGGTCTGTGTGGGCAGGCTTCTGGCAGGATCTTGGAGATGTTGCGTAGGGGTCTGCCCACACTTACCCAAGTGCACTATCTGTGCTGATTTCTCATCACAGGCTATGATCAAGGCCCCACATGCCCTGCAGTGCTGAGGGATTTGCTGCAGCATCCGCCTTTTTTTTAGCTAAACAGTTTGCAGGTTCTTTTATCGTGTATTGCTCTGCCTCAAACTTTGTTGTGAAGATGGTAGGGTTAATCAACAGCGTAAATTACTCTGAAGTCTTGCCAGTGGATGCAGATGGGTGCTGCAGCTGAGGTGATGAAGATACAGTACACGTGGACTGATTTTTCTCTTTGTTCACAGTAATACAGAACTAGCTCAGGTGTACCTGTTGTTAATTTTGAGCTCTACCTGATCTTGACAGGGTTACAGAAACGGGAATTATAATTCTGAACAATGTGATTTTTTCCATTTTTTTTCTGTATACTGCGTTAACTTTGAAACTTAATATGGGGAATATATGTTGGTGTGACTAACATATCACATTTTTGATAGCAAGATTATGTCTTGCTGGCTGAGATTTCTTGAACTGTCTTTAATGTTTTCTCCAGAAACCCCAAATTTCTTTCCACCCTCTACCAAAAGTATTTCTGGAGCTAATACTCAACAAAATGTGCTCCAAAATAACTCAGTGTAAAGCTAAGTGAATTAGAGAAATCATATTATTGAGTAAATATAGATATGGTTAATAAACATCCCATTAATATAGCACATTATTGTACATCACAGAATCACAGAATATTCTGAGGGGCCCACAGAGATTATCAGGTCCAACCCTTAGCCATGCACAGGATACCTCAAGAATTACACCATGTGCCTGAGAGCATTGTCCAAATTCTTCTTGAACTCTGTCAGGCTTGGTACTGTGACCACTTCCTTGGGGAGCCTGTTCCAGTGTCTGACCACCCTCTGGGTGAAGAACCCCTTCTAATATCCAACCTAAACCTCCCCTGACACAACTTCGGGCCATTCCCTCGAGTCCTGTCACTGGTCACCAGAAGGAAGAGATGGGTGTCTTCCCCTCTGCTTCTCCTTGTGAGGAAGCTGTAGACTGCAGTGAGGTCTCCCCTCAGTCTCCTCTTCTTCAGGCTGAACAGAACACCTGGAACTTCAATCCCCTGACAGGGGAAGTCCTTTTTTTCCATGCAAAACAAGGGTCGTGTTTGTTGAGTAGTATGATGGTGTACATGATGACAGGACTGTTTGTGGAAAGTCCACAATGGGAGTTGTACTTGGCCGTTGTGCTCTAGAATTGGATTTCGATGCTTTGAGATTTCAGGATCAGATTAAAGAATCATAAAGGTGGGAAAATGTCTGCCCATCCCATCCTTAAGTTTTGATCCATTGTCACAGCCCTGGTGTTTCCTACAATACATCACTGAGTACATGACACGTATGGTTTGTTAAAGTCTTATGCAAGATGTTTTTCAATGCAATCAAAGTTTATAAAAGCAAAAATAAAATGTGCTTGTTCCCTAAGAGGACTAGTTCTGTGTGCTGCTTGCAAACGCTGTGCAGTTTCTCTTTGAATGCAGCATATTTTCTGTAGTTCCTTGTGGGAAGGAAGTATTTGATCTGAATGGTTTGTAATTCATTTTTGCAATTGAGAAATGAGATGCTGCAATGTACTGTTATTTTCAATATTTCTTTTAGTGCAAAGCAAATCAGTGCAGATAATTTTTGGGAGGGCCTGTTGTGGATGGATTTTAAAAGACCTTGTCTTCTCATGCAGAGATTTTCTGTCATGCTGTTTTTCCTTTTGAGTTCATTTTACATTCCTTTTAATCACATTGTTCTCTGCTATCCTGAAGAAAAAGACAACATCTCTGAAAACATTGAAATTGGCAGTTTGTAGTTTGCTTGATGGTGTTTCTTTGACTTGTAGCATGTTCTTTATTTGTCTTGCCTCTTCTGCCAGCATGTGTTTTGACAGAGCAGGGGCTTGCTGCATGTGTACAGCACTTGACATCCATGGAGTGGGCATGGGAGGAACATGAGTTTAATGAACACTGTGACTTCATTTATACCAAGTGGGAGGATTTACTAAATTTTTATGGGTCAGATTTAGATTACCAATTAGTCTCATTCATCTCCCCACATGTGAGAGATGTGCAGATATTGTTGTCGTGTTAGTGAACAAAAACAAGGTTCCCAAAGGAGGTGTAAGATTGGAAAATTTTAGAAATTCTTGTATTTTATGTGACTTATTTATGGTTGTTTTAGCCTAAAACTCAATAAAGTCAACCTTTTCCTTCTGGCAGTGACCTCTAATACTGTAGCGGAGGTGAACCCTTGACTCCATTGCTGCCTCTTGGATGAGGCAGTGGTACCCCTTTGCTTTCAGCCATGCAAAACTTTTGGTTAAAGCAGAGTAGAGAGACATGAACATATGGGCATGAGAAACATTTATGTTTTTGCAGTCCCTTATCTCCTGTTAGGAAGTGACTGGTGAGAAGCAGCATTTTAATCTTTTTTGTAGAAGTTGGGACCAGGGGGTGGCCACATCAGGGATTAAGAGTTTTGTTTGTTAAGTAGCCCTGATTACTTTTGAGGGATGGCCTTATGCTATTCACACAAATAATATAAACTGAGTGGAAAAAAACATGTGATGGAAAAAATAGAAATGCTGAGACAGTTCTACAGCAAGTACAGCTGCAAGGCCTCAGCATTTGTGTAAATCAGAAGGACAACACACACGTACCAAAGAACCTGGGCAAATTTATTTTATTGTGACATGTCGTAGTATGACAGCTCTTCCACAGCTGTGCTTTATTTGAAGCTTGAGATCTCT